TTTCATGAAGATTTCGATTACTGGTCAGAGTCTCTGTCTCACACCAGAAACTTGACATTTCTCAAGTCGCTTATTGGCGGGCCTTATTTCGATCTTGAGGCCATCTGGGATGAGCATACATACTATGAGTTCGCGGACCGCTCTGTTGAGCATACCATGAGCACAATGGTTGATCAACCATATGTGAACCATGTCCCCACAGTAAGCGAAGTCAAATTGATCTTTTATGATGGAGGCCCAGAATATGAAAGCCTCACAGCTAACACGTGCTCAGCTGACGGGTGGCATCGGACGAGGGCCATTAACACGATTCTACCGCAACAACTTCATTTTCAATAACTCTCAAGATACAGAGTTAGAACTCATCAGCCGCACGCTTGGTATTGACCGCGTCGTGGACGAGTTCATCTATAAGTTCACACATGACACGGTGGTCGATTGGCTGTGAGTGATCATCTATTGGGGGCATAATACTCAGAGACGAAAGCAGCTAACACCCCGGTGTCTCTCAGTGTCCCTGGTATCCCGCCAACGTACAAAAAGGTGGAAATACCCTTCACTGCTGTTGTGAATATTCGTGGCGACAGGTTGTACCACGAGCACATTTCATGGGACCAGGGAACCGTCCTGGCTCAACTTGGTTTGATGCCGCAGTACCTTCCCTTCCCATATCCGATCAAAGGCCAAGAGGATGGGGCAACTTTTGAGTACCGCGTGCCAGTCCTAGGGATCGATACTGCGGAAAAGATGAGGGATCGGAACTCTGTTGTATCAAACGAAATGTTTAATTTCAAGGTGCGGAAATCATGAAGGAGCTATGGAAGAATGAACGGATACGGTAGAGGTTTAGGTTGCAGCTACTAGTTCTCCGATTCGGTCCTGCAATGATCAAGCATCTTAAGTCTAGGTAGCCATGTCTTTTTATATGTCTGAGACGTCAAATACCGGTGGCGGCCTTGTAGACTCTGAAAATAATCGTCGATGTTATCATTGATCGTCATTCATCTCGTATCACATGGTAATTATAGATAATAAAAGTACAACCGCCAAGAGGCCCCTTAAGAGACTAAGCCCTCAGCGAAACTGTTCTCGAGATCGCAATTTGGCCATTGCATCTGGAACTCATCGTCCCACCCAGAAGACCCATCATACATAAACTCCGATGCAGGAAGTACGTCGCCGTCCTTCCTGCCGTCATCATTCTCGGAGTCGGGCATCTCGATCATGCCGAACCCCATCAGACTCCCACGCACCTCCGCAAGCTGATCAGACAGCTGCTTTGCAGCCTTTGACCTCGTAACATAACTCGCTGCCAGTGCCACAGCCAGCTCGTAGCTGCGGCCCATAGCCTTGGACAGTCCCGGCGGCAGGCTAGCTAGTAAGGTTGAACGGTTCTGCTCCAGGGATGACGTCAGAACGAAACCGAGGGCGGAAGCTGAAGCCAATAGCTCTTGATAATAAGGCTGCTGCTTCCGGTAGATGTCTGTGTTGGCGTTCAGTGCGTAGAGAACGTCGCAGATATCAAAGAGGACTTCGATTGCGGGCTGCAGGTATTTCTTGCTCGTCTGTGTGTCGGTTCGTGAGAAGAACCACGGCTTGAGGAGGAAACTCCGGACGGTTTCCGCGCGCAGGTGGAGTAGTATGGGGAAAGAGGAAGGTTGCTTGGGGGGGCTTAGGCTCCATGTCTCAGGGTGTGTGATGGAGTAGTTGCCGACAGCTCGTTTGCGCCATTGCTCCAACTGGAAATTCATGAGCTCAAAGTTATCCTCGTCTTCGTACCGCTGGGCCTTTGTGGCTTGTGCCATAGGCCCTTCCAGCTTATTGCTGACGCGGATGAAGGACAGCATTGCTTGTATGTAGGGATGATCGGCCTTTTGGTGTGTTAATGCAGGTTGAGAGTTTGATCAGAACGGTGTAGCTTACCGAGATAAGGTTGACAGGGCTGAAACTGGAGTCATGAAAGTTAGAGGGCAGGTTGGCTGCTGCACTCCATTGTCGGTCTAGGATGACAATGCTGGAGACCAGGGTGCAGAGTTCTGAGCGTAGACTCGGTGAGCTTGCCAGACGGGACCACGCTTCCTCGTTGTGTACTCCAAGCTCCATGAGCATGCGCCCGGCTATGCCACACATACGCCATGCAACCTGGGGCATATCATTGAAGTATTCGTAGCAGCCCTGATTGGTCTTGTCAGCGCTAGATGGAGTCGAAACGGAAAGTGGCTGCAACTGACCTTGAGAAGTATGATGATGACTTGTTTTATACTTGTGTTAGATTCGGTGATTCTGCTGTTCACAGCCTCTTTCATACAATCTACGATAAGCGCTTCGATATTGGAGCTTTCTGGCGTCGCTTCGGTGTGGAGTGCAATAGCCAAGGCAAGATTCAAGATTATCAAATCTTCCTCGGAAGCCATGTCCGACTTTTCCGTCACTATCTCCCAACTTGTCGAATCCGCATCTGCATAGAAGAACCGAGCATGGGCGATAGTCTGGTCGATGTCGATAATCGGATGAAGAGCGCCGATAGCGTCTTGGTATACGCCAAGCATTTCGACCACTTCGTCGATGTTCATCAAAGACTTGAAGCGCAACAACTTTTGGGAATCGCTTGCGCCGGTCACAAGTGGGTTGAAAGAACTCGTGCTCTGCGTCAAAGACATGGCATCGTCATGGACCGACACAGTAGGAATGAAGTCGAGGCTGATCGGTTCTTCTTGCATTGGTTCGGGCGGCGTGTGGTATAGGCTCTCTCGGCGAACGCGTTTTCGGGCAACCTTCATGGTCTCCTCCGGGCTCGGCAGGCCGTACAGCTGCCGAGGCGGGGAGCACGTTGACGGCCCGATTGACTCAAGGCAGTTTTCGAGGACTCCAGCGTCGGTTATGAGGGCTGAAAGGAAATCTTCGGGTGTTTGGTTGCCCATTGTGAATGCCGGGGATGGTTGTATGGCGTTCGCCACCTCGCTAGGAGTCTGCACGCGGGATGCGAGACTGTTCAATTGGTCCTGAAGACTTGATAAGAGTTTCATGATGTTGTCCTGGTTATTGGACGTTGACGAGGTCTCTCGCCTTGATTGATCGGACTCGGTAGGAGAATCATCGGTAGCCGTCGCAGTCGGGACGGACCACATGCCGTCATCGGAGCCGTAGATGCTGTCGAAGACGCAGGTCTGCTTACGTCCTGCGCAGTACCTGCATGGTTGCCGTCCGTCGCATTTCCCCTTTCGTCGGCGACATGCCTCGCAAGCGCGCAGTGCATACGGCGCTCGTCGTCTTCCCGTCTCTCCGCTCTGTGGGCTTGGTCTCTTTGCGACGCGGTTCTCTTTCGGTTGCGCCATGGTGTCTTTGCTCCGTGGCATCGCAGGGTACTTTAACCTCAAACGTAATTGAAAGCAGATGGTTTCCAGGTGGATATTGCGCAAGTAAGTGAAACGATGACGTTCAGTATGCAGGCCACACAATGATCGAAAGGATGGAAAAGCGGTTCTTTCAGAGAGAAATGCCGGGGGATGGAAGAGAACCAACACAATCGAATAGGAGAGGGAAGAGATAAGCAGACAGATTGTCAGTCGGCTATGTTCCTCTTGATAGCGGCAAAGCGGGACTTCCTACAACTACGGGTTTAGCCTAGGGTCCCTTACCCGCTAGAAATGTAGAATGCGGGGAAGAGATAACGGGGCTTTGACGATTGGTTAAGATGGGATAATCCCCATGATTCTCTTTCACTAAGTTTTGATCCGTGTCGCCCGGCACTCCTTGCTTCAGGGCTAGTCCTTGAACCATGCCGGATCTGTTCAAGAGCTGAACAAGTCTGCCACAATTCGTAAGCAAAGCACCACATACGAAATCCGCCAATGCTGACTTGTTGGTTCTGGCAGAATGCCGCTTCCGGGGTTTCAGCGTGGTGTTTCCGAGTGGTCCCTGCCACGCCTGCTTAGCATCAACCACAACCCGCTCTGTCGTCCTGCGGGTAGGAACGCTTTTCTTGAGACTACCTACGTAAACTATACCGCAGCTAACCAGATGAACGCCAATGCCGCTGGCTTTAGTGTTTATAGATTTTGGTTCAAGACATGCACATCAAGTCGCTATGAGTAACCTGGATTTGGCATCAAGTCTGGGTCTCCGGCTTATGGTACATACACTAGTGGGCTGTGAATCAAATGGCTCGATCGCTTGCTTCCTGAACCCCCTGGTCCGTGGGAAGCGCGGGCGTCTATGATCCATTCCTGGATGTGCGCTTCTGGTCGCCCTTTCACGAGACACAGCTCCAGCGGTAAAGTGCACTTCATCCCAACATTCAATCTCATCGTCCCTGTTCTTGTTGTCCATCTTATACAAATACTTCGGAAGTATCAGCCCGGAAATACAACAAGTTTACCCATAATGACTATTGTCAAAATGGGGGAGACCTCATCTATGAAGCTGTTAGCGAGGTTAAGCATTTAAAAGAGTAGCTGAACGACCCACGGGGGGCGGGGGCCAGTATTTGCTTTTTCGAGATCTACCCTGCAATGACGGCAGCAAATGTTCAACCGGCCATTTACACACATCATGACGCTTCTTATCGCTGCTAGGGAGAGTTTCCAGCCAACCACACGGCGATTAAGGGACCACCGACGAACACTCTCACCCTGCATACGTGGGGGAAATCGGAGCGAAGTCTCGTATTCGCGGATGTAGCTATGACGACACATTCAGTAATGCCCAAACATATGTTACCGACGGTGTGAAGAGATCTTTCCTTGAAGTAGTAATGTCGTGACGCTCATGAGTGTTACCTTGATACCCAAGAACCTACTACCGATAACCCTATTGCTTAGACAAGCAAACGCAGTAAGGTCTTACAGGCTGCGAATAGCAGGCCGTTGTAATCATCTTCCAGGCGACAATAAGACCAACCCCCACACATCGTATCGCGTGCGCGGGCTCCATGGACTTGAGAAACCATTCAGAGTACGAGCTCTTCACCGTGATAATAATCTGCCAAACACTCATGTTGGCTAAGTCGATGATGAGTAGTCGAAGCTTCCATCGGATTCGTGAGATGACCTGGAAGCTGCAAGGAGAAACTCGCTCTGCACAAGTTCGCTAACATCATGCAAGCAGTAAATACAGTACTCGGACCTGTTCAGCGCCGTCGGCACCTTGACGAGCTGTTCCGTAATCTTTAGTGTCTGAAAGCTGGCCCGATTCGTGAACTCGAAGAACATTTTGCCAAATGAATAATAGATCTTATTCGGCAGCATTTACTCCTTGCGAATGCCTCCCTGATGCTGGAGATCATCCTTCGTTGATGATACAAAGCGGGGCAACGTTCGAGAGTAAGCACAATTAATTTGATATGCGATTGAAGGCTGCTGGCGGAGTTATTTAGCTTTTCGATCAATGATGAAATGATCCGATCGTAACCCCCAGACGATAATTAGTTCCTCTCGTGGCCACCAAACGGACACAGCTGAAGGCTGTGAGCAGCACGTCACAGATGCAATATCCAAGGAACTCGAGACACCAGTGAGGCTCAGGCAACTGAGAGAGCTTTCCACGTTATATGCGGATTTGGCTATTAGCCTTGATCTCATTTTCGAAATGATTGGGTTCTGGACCGGTATCAGTCAAGAAATGCATCTACTAGAAGAAAGAAGCCAAGAAAGTCTTATCTCTCTGTACGCTTCCTTTCTCTTGGGTCATTCCACTTCAAGTCTCAATCTTAATACTAATCTGCGCCTCTATTCAAACCACGTTCGCTTCCTCTTGAGTTGACCCAAGGATTGTTGATGGAGCAGCTTGAGTCGTGTTGGTGTTTTCTGTAACTTGACTACCGAGACCCACCATGCGTAGCTGTCGTCTGAAGCTTGACCTCATCGCTTCTTCTTGATTTTCCCGCATGTCAGGCGCGATATTGTGTCTCCTGCGGCTGAGAGAGAGCTTCCGAAGCACGGGGATTGACGCGGCCATGATGGTCGCTGCGATCTCAGCACTTTCCCATATAAAAAGACCCCCTAATTTATCTATAGAGTAGTTAGATTACACGGGAATATTACAAAAACTAATCGTACGAAAGTCAGCACTTACTATTATCCAACGGATTGAAACTGAAAAGATGAAATATCTTGACAATTCCTGTTGCTCCAGCACTTCATACATGATTAGAAATTGAAAGCAGCCCGTAATAATGGCAGAGAAAAAACTAACCCGAATCCCATGCTCATGGCCACACATATACCAATTCTGTCCTTTGTGCTGAGGTGCAGCGGCCATATGATCTTCCATGGCAATAAAGATAGGAGGAAGTCCAAAAAGACTGAATAAGCTGATACATTGAGCTGTGAGTGTGATTCGTAAACCCGAAAACTGCGACATACTCAAGCATACCGGAAGCAAAGACAGCAAAGTTGAGTGCCTGTCTACCTGTCATGCACGGCAAATGAGAACGAGGACCACATGGATTTTCGAATAAGGGTACCCATGTCGCCACGGTAACGTTCATGGTCACCATGATGAACCACAATAGCCATCGCAATTTTCCGGTGACGAGCTGCAAAAGAGTGAAGATGAAAGATGTCTTAGCAAGCGACCATGCCATATTTGCCATGACTCCAGCTACATGGCTCATGTCGGCATTCTTTTTAACCGAAAGAACGATAGGAACGAGAGATGTGGCATTAAGCACCGCGACTCGGAGGAATAGCTGGGTAGCGAACAGTATCTTGACTTTGAGATTAGTAGAAGACGCATGATAGGAGCTTGAGATGCTTACCCATGCAACAATGATGCAATAGTCATCTAGCAATAGTCGGTAGGTCATAGTATGTAAAATCCGAGTGAATAATCGAAGGCCGAAAATCCCAGTCGCGAGTACGAAAAGTATTGACAGAGATGCAATTTGCCTCACGACGATGTTGTCTAATGGCGGAGCCATGAACGCCTGCAGCAAATATCAATGAGTTTAATGAAAGTGATGAGAAGATGACAAGAGAATGATTTCCATGTGACGGCAAATGTGGGATAGGGTGGAGCTTCGTCGAACTACAGACAGAGGGGAAATTTTAAGATCATACCTCCAATCGAGGTCTCCTATCAAGTAATCTAATAATCTTTGTAAAGACAAAGTACCGAGCAGAGATCATTGACAGATTTTGGTTGCAATCACCTCTTGAGCATGGCCAGAATATGGCAACGCGTGGGCGGCTAACCCATCCCTGAATACTTCAAGTTTACTTCGTGGCTGGTTACTTAGTTTGCCCAGCCCATATTACCGACTTAGTCCAACTGTCAGTTACAGGATTAGCGGAGGTATGTGTAAGGTGTGTGCTTCCCTTACAGGGGCTACTGAGACATTCTGTCAGTCACATCATCGTTCCGTCAGCATTTACATTCACTATTGTGAAAACCCGACTTTCGACCGCACAAATTGGTGGAAGTGACTGAATCATGCGGTAGGATACTAGACTGAATTATGCCCTGCGGAATATCACGAAAATGAATTCGCCTATACGACTACGGCAGTGACATCTGGTCGCCTGCAATGGCTTATGTGGCTTGCCTAACCGTAAAACTAGTTTGAAGGTGCCCATCGGAAACCCCCTAATTACCTATGTTGCATAAATATATTTCAGATGGTTGATTAGGGATGGATGCTACATCCATCCATGATTTCCCCAGTCACCACATGCGTGTAAAATCTGGAGTGGAACACTTCGTAATTTCTCGAGGGTAAGGCATATAGGTAGTTCGGGGGCATCAAAGCACTGATGAAAGCCGAGTCCTTGCTGTAGCCTTCATTGATGACGTCTTGGAGACATGTCTGCTCGAAATTTTGTCTTACCTCAGCCCTAGCAGACTGGACTCAAGAGTCAAGGGGGACGGGGGGTAGTGTATGGTCTCAGAGCTCGGAAATTACATAAAGGCGATTTTTGAGCCCGAGGCTTTTTACGTGGGCCTCATGCCTCTCCAGAATCTTTGCGCCTAGGCGATGGCAATCGCTCTTGAATTCAACAAACTGTCTGCTAGAGTCAGTGCATGTGTTATGAGAGAGGGACACATCTCAGGCCGGCTGTAATTTGCAACGTTCAATAGGCTATCCAGTTTATTGAGCACAAGAGCCAGTTCAAAAGAGTGGAACAGAAGGTGCAAAGCTCAGATCTTTCCATTAATAAGTAGAGACCTTGCGTTTAGACTCCTACGGCTTCAAAGTATCTGTTGAACCAAGATACCGCTTGATAAAGAGCTTGTTCTTTTCCGAACCTCTCCTTTTCGTTCTTCGGGTCACCGCGAACGGAAAAGCCATGGTGAACACCAGAAAACAGGTTGATCTGGTAGTTTTGCTTCGTTTGAGCGAGAATAGCCTCACTTTCATGTCGCTTCTCTGTTGGGAAGATGTCATCAAACTCTGCTGCAGCAATCGACAGCGGTCCGGTGATGGCAGCGAGCTCATCCGCTTCTACAAAGGACGGGTGGGCAATGAAACCGCATTGGATCCCGCTCTTGTAATGACGCACGGCATACTTGGAAGAGAATTAGGATACTTTGTAGTGTGCAATTGATATGGAAACGAACCTTGGCCCCAAAACAATATCCTGCTGCTGCAATTTTCGTAATACCAAGGCCTTTTAGGTAGTTGATGCCGGAGACGACTATTGGGTCAATTGTCTCTGAGGTGTGTGGGTTCTTCCCGCCAGTGCCCTCCTGCAGCCACTTCATGATGTCAAAATCCTCCGGCATGTTTAACGGTGCCGGATCACCATTGAACAGATCGAGGACTAGGCATGCGTAGCCCTGGCGAGCAAATGCATCGGCCATGAGCTTGCTGTTTTGCCATATTCCAATGATATCTGGAAGATACAAGACAGCTCGCTGCGAAGCCTCGTTTTCAGCGGGAAGGGCCAAGTATGCCTCGATTTTCCCACCAACCTGGACGGATTTCCCTGTTGGAGTACCCCTATGTTGAGGAAATCAGCTGATATTCGAAGATTGTTATTGCTGTGCACCTAGGAATAATCTTACTCGTGGAGTGTGCCAACAGTGCAACAAGCACCTGGTGCATTGGATGCCATTGTCTCTGCGATAAGATTCGACGAAATGTTAGTTGTGGTTGAGACAGCTAGATGCTTGTTTGCGATTATACAAAGTACCAAGTAGGTATTAACAACCAAATGGATAGATAGAAGTGGGATACTCATACACCCAGACGAATATCAATCGTGTTACGGTAATCGACTCTAGGGTAAGTCATATCAAGTGTCGCCAACTGGTGTCCTAAACGGGTCGACAAAGAGTCGGGGTAGGGATCCGGCGCGCCAGCACGAATAGGAACCGATGAGCTTCGGAGCTTCCGAAGTCTACGGAACCGGGGTGAGACCCACTTTCCGAAGCCAACCCCGGGACCACACACTCCTCGCCGGGAGTCACGATAAAGGAACAGCAGGGACTATTCACATCATTCATGACCAAATCAACTACTGACTTTCCCTCAGCTCTGAATCATAGCCGTCATACTCATTTACCAGTCGCAACCTATCTTCAATCGGTTTATCATGCCTTCCGACCACCTTGACGACGTGCGGCCCATGTTTGAGCTCCGCGGCCGTAACTACATCGTTACGGGCGGAGCCCAGGGCATCGGTTTTGCATGCACTCGCGCTATTTGCGAGATGGGCGGAAATGTAGCAGTATTTGATATCCAGGATAAGCCAGTCGATGAGTTTAACACGCTCTCTGAGAAGTTTGGCACAAAAACTGTTTACATCAAGACGGACGTCACGTCGCAAGAGAGTATCCAAGCTGCTTTCGACAAAGTGATTGCGGAATTCGGCTCCATCAACGGCTGTGTGCCAGCGGCGGGCATTGCCATAGATAAGCCATTCCTCGATCAAACATGGGCCGAGTTCAACCGCATCCAGGAGATCAACGTGAGTCGTTTCTATGGTCTTACCCCACAGGAATTCGTACTCATAATCAAATAGGTTCGCGGAACATTCTTCGTCGCTCAACTTGCGGCCAAGCAAATGTTGAAGCAAGGGTCGGGGGGCAGCATGGTCCTTCTAGCCTCCCAGTCCGCGCACATTGCTCTCCCCGGCTACCGCATGGCGGCATACAACGCCTCCAAGGGAGCCGTCTTCATGCTCTCCAAGGCCCTTGCCGTTGAGCTCGCACCACACAACATCCGCGTGAACACCATTTCTCCCGGTTTCGTCGACTCAGAAATGACAAGAAACGTACGGGCGTCAAAGAGTAAGCGGGAGGGAGAGCAGATGTGGCTCGCGCCGCCCAACCAGAGGCTTAGCACGCAAAACGACCTTACTGGTGCCGTCGTCTATCTCCTCAGTGATGCTGCGCGCCACACAACGGCAGCGGATATACCCATCACTGGTGGACTTCATGCGGGAACCATGGATGGTTTGATCAGTTACGACTCTTAATGGGCCCGCAAAATAGATTTCTTTCATCGTACGTAATCAACTAGAGACAATTCCGTATTGCCGCCCGGTAATAGTCTCGTCGAGCAGCTCGCCGTGCGTTCCAGCTTTCGTGTGTCAAGTGTTTCGTCAACTGCATGTGCACTGTGCAGCTGAAATGAGATCATATGTGCAACAAAGCTTACGGTCTGGGCGCAATGTTTCGAGACGAGTCAAAGCTATTGGCACCAGAAAGCCGCGGCTATGATTACATAATTAATATCAGTTCCTCTGGCTATAATGTGCGGAGTTCTCGTGCGCTTTCGAAGGATAGTCGCCAATACTCATAAACATTATTAGCTTGCTGATCAAGTCGAAAGTCTGAAAAGCTTTCATCATGTGTGATATCAAGGAATTTAGGGTCGACATTGCACACGAAGAAGTTAGGCGCTTGCGAAGTAAACTTGAAGAGTTCAGACTTCCGAGCCGTTCCGAATGCCGTGATGCTGACCAGCATTTTGGTTCGTTGCTTTGCAGATCATGTTGAGTTGCGTGGCTAAAACTATCTAGGAGATTGGTACTCCACGGCGACATTCCTCCAAAGTTGTTGGCTCAACGACTTTGACTGGTACGAGGTTCAGAGCCACATGAACGAGGTGCCGCAGTACTTGGCCACAGTTGAAGACCTTACAATACACTTCACCCACGCTCGATCGCAGAGTCCTGAAGCAATTCCCCTGCTCGCCATTCATGGCTGGGCTGGGACGTTTTGGGAGTACAGTCAAATCTGGCGTCCGTTATCTGATCACGCCAACCTTGACAATCCATCTTTCCACATCGTGGTACCAAGCATGCCAAATTTCTGTTGGTCCTCTTCCTCAAAGCAGGCTAGCTGGAAGCTTAAGGACAACGCACGTGTTTTTGACACGCTCATGAAGAGCCTTGGGTACAACGAGTACATGGTTCAGTGTGGCGATTTGGTTCATGCTGTAGGCCGTGAGCTTGGTGCAAAATACACTGACTCCTGTAAGCTTCTGCACTGCAACTATGCTTCCATTCCGCTACCAGATGATACCCAGCTCTCAGAACGCGAGAAGGAGGACTTCCGCAAATATAGAAACTGGGTACAGCGCCATAGGGGATTTGACGTCACCGCCAGAATCCAAGTAAGATCATCCATAGTCGACGATGGATGAGATGGAACTAATTGGTTTTTATCGCATAGCCTCAAACAATTGCGCTAGCATTGCATGATAATCCTATGGGAATACTCATGTGGGTTCTTGAAAAGTACCAGGTCGTCGGTCACTCAGAGCCCTGGAACAATCCCTTGTGGACCAAGGCCATTCTGACCACCGCGTCTCTGTACTTTTTCACCGGATGTATCATGTCCTCGGTCATGCCATACTACAATCCTCCGACTTACGAGAAGTTCTCGGATCTTCCGATAGACGAAGACAATAGAATTCAAGTGCCATTTGGGTTCAGCTCCTTTTCCTGCGATACGGACGAAGCCTCCAAAAGAGCAATGAGACGATCAGTCGAGCAGAATGGGAACCTGGTCTTTTACAAAGGTTTGATTTACCGATATGCCTTTGGCAACGTAGTGCCCGGGGTTCAACTAACTGAGACTGCAGAACGCAATTACGCAGGTCATCTCGCTGCTCTACAGCAGCCAGACGGATTGGTGCAGGACATACGAGACTTGGCTAAAGAAATGTGGGGAAGGCAGCCGAAAGGTGGAAGTCCCAGTACCATCGGAGGGCTGAAACTCTCGTTCAATCCAATTGACTCACGAGTTCGGCCCGAGTATCGTACTTAAAGAGGATAGACTCGACATCTCCATATGGACCTACCTAATTGATAAAGATCATAGTTTCACGAGATACTGCGCATCGAGAAAAAGTCTTGAGTCTCTGTGAGATAGTCATGAAGAAGCTCGGAATATCAGACTCCAGTCTCAAAATCGAAATGAGCTTGTCTGGTCTAGCATGTACTGTTTATGGAACTCCACCGTGTGACAATCATGAAGGAACTCCTAATTATTGCACACTTACTTTGCAATACATTGGACTACATGGTAAAGGGAAGTAGTATTAAAGCGCCATTCAGCCGCCAATGCCGAGCCGACATCATGCTCCCTTATAGTTCGGCCGAATCACACAATTCCCGAAGGTCTCGCAACAGTGAGAAGCGGGGTGGAGATGCAGTGTTCGCTGTAAAGCTGTTTTGTGTGTTTGCCCGTTTCAAAATAAGGTAGCACCTAACCTTGTGTACCGCCAACTGAAAGCTTGTCAAGACGTAGGCAGCTCCAAAGAGCTCCAAATCAAGGTAGATCGAGAAAAGAAGGTTTGAGCAAGTGTCTATATTTGGCACAGTTGTGTGCATCAATTCGGGTATGGCCCCGTCGTTGACGTAGGAACCTCTGTCTGTGTCAGTTTGGCCGGTTTGTCTCGATAGATCGGACGGAGCTTCTTATAACGAAAGCCCACCCGGTACATTGAGGCTCAAGGACGCAGGGGAGTATCTGTCAACCCTTCACGGTGAGAGACAATGGACGCCAAGGATTCACAGTCCAACCCGCGCAACGACATTAGCCTCGAGTCGCTGCACCCGATTGAGCCCAACGCGGATGGGAACGTTGACGACAAGAAGGACATACCGATCATTGCATCGGCATCTCCGCCACCTACCATCGCCAATGTTAACATACTAGACGAGGAAGATGCGCAGTCGGGCCCTGACTCGAGCCAGGTGGAAAACGAGAAGTTGAAAAGGCGGGCACGCTGGGCTCTCTTCATTATGTCCTTCTTCATGGGAGATGTTGCGGATGGGCTCGGCCCATTTCTTGGCGTTTACCTACAACAACGTGGATGGGAACCTGGGCTGCGTGGTATGGTGAGTACGGCGGGCGGTGTTGCTACCATCATAGCAACGGGGCCGATCGGTGCGCTTATAGATGCAACGAAGTGAGTGGTCTTACCCCCCACGGACTTATCAAATCCCATACTCCGGTATTGTCACAAGTTAGCTGATACTTGAGGCCGCTAGGTACAAGCGATTTCTCGTCGCTGGCTGCGCCCTCCTCGTGGGTGTTTCTCAAGGACTCAATCTTATCTCCACACATCCGGCCCTCGTCTTTTCCACGCAAATTGTGTCTGCCGTCGCAGGCACAAGCATGATGCCTCTTCTCGTGGCGCTCACACTGGGAATCTGCTCCCCTGACCAAGAAGGCAGCAATACGCAGAACAAGAGCAAGCACAGCTTCCGCGTACTAAATGGGCGAAATCAGGCAGCTAACCACGCGGGCAACATGGTCAGCGCGGGTCTAGCTGGGCTTTTGGGGTCGAAATTCGGCTTGAACGCGGTCTTCTATCTCGTCATGGCATTCTGCGCAACAACGATAGCAAGTGTTTTCCTCCTACCGGAGAGAGCAGTCGATCATGCAGCAGCAAGAGGAGGGCCTGCTCCTGACCAAAGAGCGGGTAATGCCCATCGAACGCAGGAGAGAGGGGAGGTAGACATCCATGACTTCACAGAAAGGGGTGACATGCCACCTCGTCAGACTCCGATTGCCAGTCCTAAGGCCAGCTTCTGTCGATTGAGTCTGAAGCCCAAGTTCACTTACAGCTGGATCAAGATCTTTCAAAACAACTGGCCTCTTGGTATTGTCGCCATCACAATATTCATGTTCCACCTCGGCAACGCTGCGATTCTTTTCCTTTACGGCCAGGCCTTGGTGGCCGCAGGCGAGGGAGATCCTGCCGGAACCACGGGCCTAACCGTCATCATAGCACAGGGCACAATGGTCATCGTCTCAATCTTGTCTGCTTGGGCATCCGGCCGTTACGGCTACTGGTCAGCTGTTCTGCTCTCGTACTGCGTCTTGCCCGTCCGCGCCGCTGTCGCAGGCCGTGTTATGAAGGGCTGGGGCGTGTGGCCAGTCCAGATCCTCGATGGCATTGGCGCAGGTATCCAAAGCGTAGCAATTCCAGGGTTGCTAGCCGCCATGATGGCTGGTACTGGGCATGTAAATATCACTATGAGCATTGTCGGTGGCATCACTCGACAGACTGGTGCCGCTATTTCGCACTCGTTGGCTGGGTGGGTGGCGCAGGTCAGGAGCTACAGCTTTGCGCTTTACCTGATGGGTGTCTTCCCTCTTGTCTCTATATTCTTATGGGCTATCTTTTATAAGATCCTACGGCCGGTGATGGACAAGAAACTTGGGGAGACCAATACGTAGTCATGGTCCTGTATTACCAGACACGAGCAGTATACTTGTAATGACTCCATTTCTTTGCTCTTAGGACAGACACATGTGCTCATTTCTCTTTCGCAATTAATCATATGCAAAAGCCGAATCAGAGGTAAAAGACTAGTCGAGATCGGGAACACAAGTTGTCCATCAAGTTAACGTGGTTCTGGTTACCACTACAGTGCTCCTCCTGTGTCCTTTTACTGCTGTAGCCCCAGGTAATCTGTCAACGCCTCAAGCTTCTTCGTTCTTCTTGATCCCGAGAACAGGCTCAGAAAAGCCAACCTCACACTCGGAAGGCAATTCAACCCCATAAGTATCAGACTCAAGTTCACCAGTCGTCTCGTTAACGACGATCCATCTCCTGTTCTGCAGATCGCCGTCCTGCGCCCGATCGTTGAAGTTCTGCGGTGCAAAGACAATGCTGCTAACAGCCTCGCTATAAAGCGTAACGGGAATATCCTCGGATCTGGTGAAGTGATGCATGCCTAAATTGAACCAAAGAACGATGTCTTCATTTTCGGCACTCTCGCCATCAAAGAACTTCATGAAGTCTTGCTGGGGCTTCAGAGGCAAGTTGACGTTTGAGTGACTGTTCGCGTACGGCTCGGTGTCATGCTGTCTCGAAAGCGCCAGGTGTGACTTGGCGAACGGCGTCTGATGCTTCGTCCAGGGAGAATTGAGCGGCGTGAGATGAATATTGGACTTTCCGGGGACTATGCGGTAGCCGCGCTTTTCTCCCCACGCGTTTGTGGCATTGGGGTTCACAATGCAGTACATTGCCGCGTTGTTTGGTTGCCAGTTGAACTGTTGCTCGTCCGTCATTGTAGACTTTTGCAGCTGCATCTGCTCAAAAGATCCAAGCTCTGGGTACCAAGGCTGGCTGGTATTGACTAAGACGAGCTTGCTTACCTCGAGACTGTTCTTGGTATCGAGAATGTCAAAGTCGGCCTTGTAGGTGAGAATATGATCGTGCAGTGATCCCATCGTCGCCTCTTGGATTCTGGGACCAAACTCTTCCTGGTCTGGGTAGTAAAATGAAGATTGCAGGAATCCTGATGCTCGGACTGTAACCTCGAGACTACCGTCAACGTGGAAAGAGTAGTCGAACATGTAGTCGTAGTTTCCCACGGTCGCTACCGATCGCATAGTCAAAGCCGAAGCCTTGACTGTACCCAGATAACTGAAGCCGTATTCATTTCCACTACCGTATCGGTGACGTGAGACAGGATAGCCAGCATCGGCTTCGAAAATGCATATCGCATCTGTGCTGACGACAGATGAGTTGCCTTCGTGGTGCGTGACGTTCCAGAAAGTGCTGCCAAAGGGGCAATCATACCCCTCGACCAACGTGCCCAGGTAGGTACCAAGGCTGTAGTACGTATCGTGGTACACTGTTCCAGCTGCCTTGGGTGTAAAACCAGCATATTGTGCAGCAGCTTCCTGTAGCGAAAGCTCGTAGATGATCCTTTCGCCCTTGAACTTGATGTCATAGTACATCAGCCCAAGGGTTCGAGAGTACGAGGTGTAGAAGGACCACCCCATGTATTCGATGTATTTCTGTTCCTCATCAACCTTATACCTCTTGCCGCCAACCTCGAGGCTTTGAGGCGCTAGCTTGTTCTCGAGGTCTCTGACTCCCATCTCAGGCTTATAATCCAGGAGACCCCAGTCGGGAGTCCGGCTCTGCTTAAAATGCTCCTTCAGCTCTCCTGCCTCCCACGCGGTCCGCAGAGCAGCGACGGTGGGAAAGAACTTCTCATTCGTCACGATGCCTCGTAATTTGTACTGTGAAGCATCTGTGCCGGTAACGTCTAGCATAACGGAGAAGTCTAGTGGCGTAAGATATGTCGCTGTATTGGGATATCTAAACATAACCGTGCGAAATGCTTGGGTGCCATCATAAGACAGGGGCGTACCGCTGGTGGAAGTGAGGGTAGTCCGATTATCGCTCAAGCCGTAGTAAACTCCGCCAATGAGTTCAGACGTGATGTCGGTGATGTTGCTCATGATAGACACGAGTAGCGGCTCGGAGGCTACCAGGCGGGGGCCGTCAAAATAGCGACTGTTGTACGGGATCTTGCCACCACTGCCGCCGTTGAAGATGTAGTCGAGCTTCTCCACCTTGGTTCCGTTACCGACGGGAAGAGGTCCGACCATGTACTCCTGTGAGTCTGGGATCTCCAGGCCTCCGCTGAAGATGACTACTCGCGCATATTTTGGCGGCGGGCTAGCGGTACCACCGAGGTACGGTAGGACAGTGGACTTATTGGTGTGGAGAGTGTCGATCCAGTAGACATAGTTGTCCGTAATCGTAGCATTGTTGGGGTCTGTGAGGTTCAGACCTGTTGCCGGATCGTGGAGTAGATTCCACACAGCGAGGTTATCATCAGGGGAGATGGGAGCCCAGACGTTGACTTTCGGTGCGTTGACCTTGGGTGCGGCCTCGTTGATGTTGCAGGTTGTGACATTCGCTGCCCGCTTGAACAGCCCATGTTGTCTCGTCTTAGAAGATGCCTCGACTACCACACCAAGGGCTAGAAGACCTAAGAAAGACTGTCTCA